TAGTTCACCTTCTCCATAGTCACATATTCCAACATCTCGCAACGTCAAATATTTTACCCTTTTCACAGCATTTTAACCAGTCGGTGACGCCAGTCTTTACACCCAGCCCTCCACTTGATTAATAGTATGTACCCTTTCCAAATAGTGTCACCTGGGGTTTCACTGCGTTTGTTGTTGTTATGAACCTTGCAGTCCCATAATCCCCTAATGCTGCGGCTATTATTTTTTCATATTGTAATTAATATACCCATTAATAGAAAACGGCGTGTTGAAAGCGCGGTGAAACGAGTCTAACAGCGCGTTTCTCGAGTCATCGTCGGAAATAAGACTCTTTAAGGTTGTATGTGAAAGACTGTGACGTTGCAGTAGCTTTGGATGGTGTCAGTAACCAGAGGTCACTAAAAATGGAAATTTAAGGCATTTAAACCGTTTTTAGCTAAAAGAGAAGGATTCTTCAGCAAATCCACCAATTGTGAGGACATGGTTAATTAGATACTCTCTAGTAGGAAGTTTCGTGAAAATAAATAAATAAACGTACGACGTATTTGAAGAAGAGTAATATTACCGTATTAGTAAATATTTACATGTTATTTATTAGTTATATATACATTTGGTCGAGCCTGTTTTCTCTGCTTCCCTGCACTCTTAGCACAAAGGGTTCTATCAAGTACTGAAAAGATAGTTCTTTTGTTCTCAACAATAGTGGAACCCTTTTTGGTGCTATGTAGCAAAGGGTTCTCCCTATAACTATCACTATATAATAGATAGCTGGCTTTCCACCAGAGAGAAGATGCATGCAGAGAATCATGAATGCATTCTCTTTAGAGTGTTCTGTGAAGAACCTCTGCCTTGACTAAAGAACCTCTGAAGAACCATTTTTGAAGAGTGTGGAACAGTTCCAGAAAGCGATTCGCAAAAAACCGTGAAGGAGCAAGTTGATCGTCATTCAACTGGTCATTCAATAAATGTCACAAAAACTGAAAATTAAAAAAATCAAAAAAGGAAAAAGAAGAAAATGAAATTTAAAAATGGTGTATATTTAAGCAGTAGGTAATCTGGGTTGCCTTGACCGCCAAAAGTAAGTTAACGACAAAAAATGAAACTTGTCCGATCAAACAGCACCGAGGAGAGTGGAGTTTGAGCGAAAAGGGAAAAGTTGCGATTTTAGCAAAACATCAAAATGATTTTTACACTATTAAAAAATGTGAAATTGAAAGAAAGCGACGAACGGAAGAGACAGAAGCCCGAACGGTCACGGAGCTGCGAAGTTCAAGGCCGATGTGAGGTAAATCCAGCGAGTGTCAGCTCTAATTACTCAATAACTTCAACAAAGTGCAGCGGCTCTGATGGTCACTCAGGTGCGGCGTCCACTCGTCCTCCCTCCACTTGGCCGCTTGGTCAGAATTAACCGCTGTCATTTCGTCATTTCAGGCGGCGGAGCTTGTTTTTTAATCTCCGTATTGGCGCGATGTTTTTTTGCAGGTAGTGAGGGTCAAAGCGTGGCTTTATCCCGCGCGCCGAGTCCCGTGAAAACTGCCTTTCATATTAGCGGGATCAGCGGATGTAATTAAAGCTGGTAATTGCAGATTAGAGGTTTTGGGTCACTGAGGTTATTCGATAGGAGGCCGTTTGAAATGACGGGCAATTATTGAGCATAGCTCCTGGAAAAGGGAGCAGCTTTTACACCTCTACCTCTACCTGTACCTCTACATCTCTCTCTCTCTCTCTCTCTCTTTCTCTCTCGTCGCCCTCCAGGCCTGTATGCGCTCTATCAGCCACTGCAGGTACTGTGGAAGCTACACTGACTGAGCGTTTAAAAATACAGGTTCCTAAATGGTTAATATCTGGTTCTAGGAAAAAACCTCACAAGTTCTTCTGACGCCCGAACATCTACAAAAACCGCTCTAAAGAACGCTTTGGAGCAACTTGATTTTTAAGAACGTGCTCCACAAGTGGGGTAACGCTGGGCTTCAAGTTGACCCTCGGCTCAGTTCCCCCAGCCTGAGGTTGACTTAGAGGGTCAGGAGGGTCTCAGCGTGGCGTGTTCATCAATTCATAGCCAGTAAGGTCAAACTCATAGTGGTCCCAGCATAGTGTCCAATGGGGAGGTGGTGTTTTTGTGCATTTGAAATGAAATAGCGTTTGCAGTACAGGTAAGTATTTTTACCCTCAGCAGTTTCTGCAGCAGCTTTGGGAGAAGACTGAACTCCAATAACACAGAAGCAGCGCCAAAAATGTTCAATTGCAGCTAATTTCCTGCATAGAATGTAAAACACTGGACGCTTTTAAACTGCCAGTGTAAATTTAATAAAAAAAAAGGGGGGGCAGCAGTAATGATTATAGGGGTAGGTTGGAAGGGAAGGAGGAGTGGTGCTGGTGGTGGTGGTGGTGGTGGTCGCGCCGAGGGGCGTCTTGTCTTTTGACGCAGAAAGTGCGCCAAATTTGTTTGCAGCGGATCAAGGCTCACCGCCTCCACTGCACTTTTCTTTATCTTAATTCCAACTTGAAAAGATATAATTATCTAGTTTGAACAGGACGGCTATCAAATCCCCTTCTTTAGGCAGGCTAGGGGAACAGCTCGAGTGGATTGTGGGCTCTGAGCCGCTCCGTGTTGCTCCAGATAGGGAGTAATGAAGTTGTGGAGTCCGGAGATACAAAGGGCATTAACCTCATTAGCATGAAACCTTTTCTTCTAACTATTGTGGGACCCTTTCAGCCTTCTAATCCCTCTATTTCAAAGCTGGGTGTGTAATAAAGCTTTTAGGGGGTTTTCAAAGCTAATGGTATTCTCTGAAGATTTTTTTATTGCCCGTTTTTAGTCCACAGAACGTTTTTATAAATATATATAAAATATTAATGATTTTAAAAAACTTCTTATACACTGTGGTTGTATGTGGCGTTATTTTTTTTAAAAGGGAACTTTTTTATTATAATAATAACAACGATGTGTTTTTACGTCTAGTTTCAGGATTCAAGGTTGTATTAACACGAATTCTATAATAACCGTTTTTAGCACGATTTTCTGCTCCAGCAAGAAATTTTTACGCTTATTTTTTTTTTTCTTTCCTGAACGAGTTTTTTTTTCTTAGGTCTTTTCACGCGCTTTTTTTTTCTCGTTTGTGAAATTGTGGCGTGCAGGTTGTTGAGGACACGATTTGAAACAAAGCTCTTCTTTCGCCGCACATTGCAACCTTCCCTTATCGCCATGTGAGGGGTAGTCAGATTGTACTAAATTATGTCCAACCAGGCCCCTTTGGATCCACGGATTAACAGATTAAAGTGGACCACTGGGCAATGCATCCCCCCTCTTTTTCTCCCCCCACCTCTATATTACTCGTATGATAATTGCCTAAACTGATTTGCACTTGCACAAAAAAGCTTGCAGGACTCTTTGTAGGCCGAACACAGCAGACTGCTGCTTTGCTGCTTCCCTGTCAATGGAAATAAAACTGATTAATGCCGTCTATCAGCGCTGAGGAGGCAAACGAGGCAGGAAAAAAACAAGCATTTCGCTCCAAACTGGTCTTTTTTCTCTTTCTTTCAGGGCGCGTTCCTTTCGAACGAGCGCCATGAAAACAGTTTAACCGGCGATCACTATTAAGCGCTAATTTTCTGAACATTTTTTTTAACCTTTTTTAAAATAGCATGTTTGTGTTGATATGCATGCATGACTCCAATCAAAGGCTCAAACGCACCTGCCAGTACAGCACAACCTCCCCCCCCACACACACCTCAAAAAATGAAAAAATGAAAAATGAAAAAATGAAAGTGATTCCTGCTCACAAATCCTGAGTCTGATTTTTTTATTCTCAGCAACATGATAAAACTTTATTGACAAAATATTGACAATTATATACTTCTTGGAAGTATATGCTTTTTTGTGTTAAAATTGTAGCAAACTTAACACAAAACACAAAAAAATTATTTACATTCTGGTAAAAGAGAATTTAACAGAAGCATTAGCTTTTATGTTTGTTTGTTTAGGATCTCTGTACATGGAATACACGCTCAGTGCTTGAAGGTTTTTTTTTTGTTTTTTGTTTTTTTTTGCTGCCAATTCTTGCATTTAGTCCTTCGTGGCAACTCTTTAAATGAGGGGTGAGAATAGGGAGTAATGGTAAAGCTTCAGCTTTCAAGGAATGTCACCGATATTTTTCATATCGTCATAAGTACTTTTTTTTTTATCCTGTGGCAAACTTTTGTAAAGTTTTCAAAGTTTTTTTTTCGTCTTTTTTATGCTTCTTTAAAAACACTATAACGCAGCACTGCTACTTCATCTTTTTTTTTCGTCACAACCACTTGAACACGATAATTATAAATTCAAAGACTCCACACTTTCGTAGAAAAAGGAAAAACGGAAGAAGCACACAACATTTGTTTTCATTTCTCTGGTCGAAAAAAAAATAGAATCGAAAGTTATACTTTGCACTGAGGTCAAATTAAAATCACCTATAACCCCCCAAAAGAAAATCCATTGCTCTACCATGCAATTCAAGTTTTGTACATTAAAACAGTCGCGTGTTTTGGTATCTCGGAGAGGAACGTTCACGTTTTGCCAAAATAAAATTCTCATCTCAGAAGTGCAAATGTCTTATGCATTGGAGTTTGTTTTTGTGTTTGGAGGTGTGGTGGTGGTGGGCAGAGTGGGGGGGGGGTTAGTGGTGATGGGACGGTGGGGTGGGGGTGTAGGAGGGGTGAACATGTAATACCTGTCAATCATCTCGTTTTTGGCAACGTGGACAAAGTATTGACAGTCCCCTCGTGTAGTGACAGCAGTGCCACCAACAGGAATTTTCTCCCCCTCAAAGCTGCCGATCTCCAAAAAGAATGGAAATGTGACCATTGGCTTTACCCTCACTCTCTTTTCTCTCTCTCTCTCCCAGCGCACATGCACAGCATCCCCTCATCCGTGTCATCCTTCAAGCCGTTGCAAGCTCCTGTCCCGGGTTTCAGACAGTCTTCTGTTTTTTTTTTTAAACATAAAAAAGAGTTTTGTCTTGTTTTTTTCAGTTTTAATCGTCCGAGGTGACGTCTATTTCCTCCGGGCTGCCTTGCTTGGTGGCTAGCCTCCATCGGTTTACGTGATGGGTGCCCTTCTTCTTCTGCTGGGAGTCCGAGCCCTCCTCTTCGAGCTTCTGACGCTTAAACTTCGTCCTTCGGTTCTGAAACCAAACTTTTACCTGCAAGGAAGGAGAGGAACAAACGGGAAATGAGCAACACGTACAAACGCAAACTGATTCACAGTAGTAGGTTTCATGTTTGGTCTCTGAATGAAACAAAGAAAAAAGAAAGAAAGGGAAAAGAGAGAGAGAGAGAGAGAGAGAGAGAGAGAGAGAGAGAGAGAGAGAGCTGGCCTCTCAGCTGGTATCAGTGACGGAGAACTGAATAGGCTTATACAAAAAAAGAGAAGGCAATCTATCCGAGAGAGTAAATAGTCTTCTTTTGATTCAGCCTTTTACACTCTTTACAGCAAACGCTTCGAAAATAAGAATATAAAGAGGTTATAAAGCGGCCCGTTTAGCTGCTCCAGTCTATTAAACTGGAAACATTAAATAATCTATGCGTTAAAGAGAAGGAAAGAACTGAGTCTTCATAAAAAAAAAGAAGAAAAGAAAGATCTGAGTGCACTGTGGCTCCCACCGACTCCCGGCGTGGAGGCTACAATTCCCCCCTATTAGTATCACACACAAGCGCAGGAGCAACTTTTCTATCACAACGCATTGTGCGCGCGGATTCACCCTACAGCTCAGTTCATTATCTTTTATCATTCACATTAGACAAGTTGGCCGAGTAAGGGGAGGGTGGTGTTGGGGGGTGTGCAGCATTTAATGTGCTTTCAGTGGGCTAATTGAAGCATTGAAGTGGGCTCCCAGTTCGTCTCCCTTTCTCTGAAAAACGTCCGGTTCGAAAAAAAAGGGCCAGATCTTAAATATGGCGAGGGGAAATTCACCAACCCGCCTCTTTCTTTTTAAGCGTCCTTTTAAGCCCCTTTTTAACTGCTTAATTGCCAAGACATTTTACGTGCGCGCGACAGATCCTCCAGCCTGATCTGATTCCCCTTTAGAAATGCTTCACGCGCCTAACGTCTCAGATATTGTACTTTAAGACTGAGGGCGAAGTGAAAAATAAAATGTAAACAAATAAAAATAATTTTTTAAAATAAGAAATAGTCCTTTAAATGCTGTACAACTTTAAAACCATAGCATGAACAAATAAGCAGAGTGCGCGTGAATTGTTGACAAGTGCAGGAGGCCATAGAGAGAGTGCACACTAATTAGACCCAAATTAACAAACAACAACAAAAAAGATAAAAGCCGTAAAAACGCTAATTTGTCGGTTTTAAAAAACACACAAATACGCAAATTTCTAATCACATATCAGACATATAATCTGGATTTATAACAAACGTTATCGCACGCGACACTTAATTTACTTCAATTGCATAAATTGTTTTCTAAATAATTAAAAAAATGTAGTAAAATATGTTCTAAAATTTAAAATAGGACAGAAAAAAAAACAAAAGATTATGTTAAACCCTATGTTGGGTATGAAGCCCGCGCACGCAGGTGCACCGTGCGCTTGGAGCGCGTGCGGGGAGGCGGGCGGGCGTGCGTGCTCCTACCTGAGTTTCTGTGAGGCTGAGGCTGTGGGCTAGCTGCTTGCGCTCCGCTCCCACCACGTAGTGGTTCTTCTCGAAAGCGTGCTCGAGCCGCAGGAGCTGGGAGGGAGAAAACGCCGTGCGGATCCTCTTGGGCTTTCTGGCCAGTGCATTGTGCAAAAGGAAGCTTTCCGGACTCGTTTCGTTCCCTGCGCAGGACAGCGAACACAGCACCATCAGTTCTGCCTCAGTCAGCTCGAGTTCAGCTCAGAGTACATTAAACACTAACGCTATCAGCGCTGAATACAGCCTGCATCGCCTATCAGAGCAGAAGTCAGTCAGTAAAGCTCAGTTAACTGGGTTCTGTAGAAAACAATGTCAGTGTTGTTACAGTGCAGCCAGGCCAACAGGCCCCACAGTTTGGACGGGCTAAAACACTATTATTTCATTTTTAAATACAAAAAATATAACAAAAGTAGCACAATCGATCGTCAGCCAATCAATCATGCTGATACGCTTTCAAGAGGTAAACAAAACGAGGACATATAAAAGCATGATTATGTTTAATTTCTCGAAATGATAAACTTTGAACATTATTTGCAAATGTAATATATATTTATAGTGTCTTACATATAACAAAATACACGTGTTATCATAATAGATCATATGTTGCGTGCAAAAGTATGTATGTATATATAGACATACATATTTATGTACATATATGTACGTATGTATACACAATGTATATGTTGCACGAATGCAAAATTATATATATATATATATATATATATATTATTGATACATAATTTTGCATGCATGCAACATATAATCTAGTATAAAATACGTGTGTGTGTGTATATATATATATATATATACACACACACACGTGTATGTGTGTATACTGTATGTTGTCATATACATAACATATAACAATATCATGTATATATATATATATATATATATATATATATATATATATATATATATATATATATATAATTTTGCATGTATGCAAATAATGTAGTATGACAACACACATGTATTTGTTAATCCGTCCTAGCATGTAGGCTACTAAAGACAAAAAAGTTGCTGCTAACAACAAACACCAAATACAAACAACACATTTTGTTTACTTCTCTAAAACCGTGAGATAAGATAAATCATTCATTGGCTTATTACTTCACAAAAATACTAGTTTATTTCACCTTAATTGCTATTATATTATTACAATGCTAGTCAACACAACTTGTGTCTAATTCTCTAAAGAATCCACAACACAGGCGCTGATTAATAACTGTGGTTCATCATTGCTGTGTAATAACCCCGCGTCTCCTGGCTGACAGTGTTAGACGTGCAGGGCTCGTGCTGGGCTCGTGCGGGGCTCTGAGAGTGCAGGCCTGCTCCACACATGCAGCCTCTCTGTACAACATAAACACTCTCCGTCTCAGACGCCTGAACTGTTAGCGGGGAATAATAGTTTAGGCTGAACAGGACAGGGGCTGCTTCATTTCTCTCTGTACGGGCACTTCCGGTCATTTCTTTTCCTGGAGATAATTATTTTAAATTGCGTCCTAGTTTAGCATTGATCCAGCCATTAGCCTCATTAATAGAAAGTAACTTTTCATTGCGCCGCTCAGTCAAACAGACGGAAATAAAGACGAAGACGATCTTTAAAAAATTGTAATTTTTGGTGAATGT